AATTGAATAATAATGTTAGGAGTTATTATTTGTTGATGAAAATTTGGATAAGTTGGGGTGGATAAAAAGGAATTATATGACATTTGACGTCTTAGTCAGGAAAAATCAGATTATTCTCGACGGGATAACAATTTTCCTAGGTACCTGCAAGTATCGCTCCAGGTTTCAAATTCGCACCCAGAGGTTAAACAGCTACCTGAGCAGAGCCAACATTTTTTAGTTGTAAAGTCACAGAGGTGCCTATGGGGATCACCACGGGGTTGCTGAGTGACAAACCCGTCAAAGATCTGTAGATATATCAATACAACAAGGCGAGATATTTCATTATTGTGTCAGCGGATACTTCTGCTATAATAATTTATTGTTGAATCCCGAAATAAAACAAGATTGCTCTCTTAATCTCTAAATTTAAAAATAAACTTCCATATAGTTTTTTAATTTTAAATAAAATTACTCAAGACTGGCAATCACCAAAAAAATTATCGCATTATTATTATTTCATAATATAAACAATAATAATATTTATCTGTGCATATTAATGGAATAAATGAAGAATAATTGAAATTAATGGTTAATTTGATTTATTACGAAAGCTTAATTTTGATGAAAGCTTTCTGGGTGCGTTCTCACGGTTAAAATTCAGAAAATTGAAATTTGACTGCAAGAATTCCATTGGCCGAGGCGAATTTTTGCATCATAATATATATTGATTCTATAGATATAACGAGATGAATTGTCAAATTGATTTCTATAAGTTAGCGCCTGGAAAAAATAGACAGGCCGATATTCTCTGGTCTTTGAGTAATAAATATTGGACTATTGTGACTGGTAGAAAGTAGTTTTGACATTTGAAGAATGAATCGACCATAAGGGAACACGTATACAGGATCCGTTGAAAAGACGGAGGGGTCACCGTGACGAAATATCGGGCAATGCAGTCAAAATACCAACAGATGCCTTGAAAAGGATACATTTGGCTAATGGAAACAGGTAGAAAATCGAGAGCCTTCGCCCTCTAGTTTTTCCATGGTAAATTTTCTTATTTTCCCAGTCACCTGATAACAATTCGCTACAGCAGCCCAGGAAGGCAAGCCCTCGGCTTCTGCCATTTTTCAAGGGATCACCCGTCACGCTTATTTTTCATTATTCAAGATTTTTGCAGGTACTTCTCACTTTCTGACCCACAAATCCACGAATATGTCGAGAAAAAAGTTGTGGAACATTTTAATTAAGTGAATGCTAAGTCAATTTTTCCAATTACTGCACTTATTGAAAATAATAAGAACGAATTAAAAAAAAAACAACAATTATCAATAAACTATGTGAGGTAAAATGTAATTTCAAAGAAAAAAGTCAATGCAATTTTCCATTGACTGTGAAAATTCCGGAAAGTTAATGTTTAACTGAAAAATGAAATTTTCAATGGATTGAAAATTCTCGTGAGTTATCGATCAAATTACAGAAATATAAAAAAATAAGAAAAAATATGAAGATTGTAAGCTTGATATTACCCTCTCAAGTATAATTCAGGAAAAGTGTGAGTGGCGAGTAATTTAAAGGGCTGAGCATGTGCAGTGCGCTGGTGTGTGTAAATAGTCTGCCATATTGGTATGACGTGAACACGTGGGTAACCCCCACAGTGATGTTCACCTAAAAAGCAACGTCAACAATAATATAATATTCTCCTCCGTATTAGTGCATCGGTGAATTCACTAATGCCCAGGCATAGAATGAGGAAGAGGCTCGTTTATCACTTTGCCGCCGATAAATCAGAGCTATCCGCCTAGGGAATGCTTTTGCGGTTCCCCATAGTGTTGGAACGGTTTATAAACGCAGAGGGGATATATTCTCGGGGGTGCGGTTATCTTCGCGTGTACCGGCTGTACATTATCTCAGGGGCTTTTCTAGAACCCAGTGTGTATATTAGAGTTAAAACCGAGGGAGATCCATGTGGTTATAAATAGTCGTGTAAACTACGATTGTATAGTCATCCACAGACCATTTTCAACCATCTTTACCCTACCCTTCGTTTCCCCCCATTCCTATCACCCTGTTCTAGGGAAAACCATGAGACAGTGGGTGTGGTTCTACGCTGTTTATAAACTACATTACGCCAATCATCGATTGCTGGGGGAGTTGCCCCCATTCACACCTATGTACAGGAATATTTATTGTGATAGCGTTATCGGGGATTAATCCACGCTATCTGCTCGTAAATGATTGTGTATAGTTGTTCAGTGTGTACTGGATCAGTGGGGAGATAAATTAAGTATCTCCTCATTTAATTAACTCCTGGGGGATGGGGTGTTGGGGTTATTTTTTTGCCACCGGTCATCATTAATTATCGGAGCGAAATTTTTACTGGTGTGATTTCACATTTTTCGAGGGGCTGCATGCAATTTTTCAGTGAAAATTTAATTTATTTCAGATTCTTTATTTGCGGAATGCAATTACTGCTTGAGGTGCTAGATCTGGGTTTCGTGAATTCTTTTGAATGAATTAGACTTTTGATGAAGGGGTAGGGAAGTTTGAGTCAAATTTATGGAATTGAAAATTGGAAATTTCCGGGGCTGTGATTGAATAAATATTTTGTCGCAATATTTATTCTAAAAAGTGAAATCTTCGGAGAATTCTCCGATTTATTATGCCACAAGGTGAAGAATTTTTGGAGCTTCAACTATTCTAATGGGCGATCGTGAGTTATTTCTACATTTCGTTCCGTAAATATTTCAATCCTCGGGTTGAATTAGTGGAACGACTTGTTCTCACAGCAGTGGGTCACCAGATTTTTACAAAAAAAATTAATTACGAGATAAACATGGCGATTTCCACAATATCAGTTCCTCATTACCGAAATTCTTCAATAACTACAAAATTACCCATTCATAAAAAAATGAATTGTTTCCCACAGAATTCCCCTCCCCCTATCACGTCTTCTAATTAATATCAACAAATAGTGAAACTGAAAAAATGCACGTTGAATTGTTGATAGAGGAAAATAGGGAAATGTCCGTTTGGCCAAGAAAATTTCTTGTCGCCTTCGCGAATAAATATCGCACTCCAGAAGATGTTTGATAAAAAAAATAAGAAAATGTCTAGTTCTCGCACCACGTGACACGCGAAGATAGAATGTGCAGTGAAAAAACACGTAGGTGGGCGTGGCTTGTGTATTACTTAAGCCACGCCCCGGTGGCTGAATATACGAAGAGAGTGTGGGGATAAACGTTCGCCGATTGGCCAATAACAGGTTTACGTAGGTGTGGCATGCATTAATTATTCTAAATAAGTCGTCGGGCCAGCGGCGACTGATTATAGAGTTAGCAATGCCATAAATAGAATGCCGTTTACCGATGCTTCGTCCAGGGGAATATAATCACGGAACTATTTTTTGTTGTTTGAGATCGGAGTGCCTGTCAACTCGGTGAAAAAATTAATCTATCTCTTTTGGTTGAGACGATTGGTCCATTTCTTTGTTGTCTCTTGAATTCCATCTCCAAGCCACGGAGTATCTCCGGATGTCTCCGATAATCGACCGTGAAATTTTAATTATGTTCGACTGTTGACAACAACTTGTCATTTATGTTTATTTACGTGGAATCGCTGTTTTTGCCGGAGGAAACATTCGATTAAGAGATTTTTACATGAATTACCGCACTTATTACGCAAATAATTTTTCAATCCACGTAACGTTTGAATTACTTTATTTTTTATTATTTTCTGTCACTGCAGTGACTCGAAAATAAATTAACAAAAAATATCGGTTTTCTATTCAATATATTATTAATATATTAACGAGAGTTAATTCGATCCAAAAAATCGGCGTTATCAAGAGCCGATCATTTGTCTAACATGATAAATAAATTCAAACTGATAACGCGATGTAAATATTCCTCATGGTATTGGTTATCTTCTGAAAATCCGTGATAACACTGACTTGTGTTTCTCACCTATAATTTAGAAATGATAATTTATTGACATGTCTTCCACGCGCAGCTGCCCCAATAGTGAATAGTCCCAAATAAAAATAGATGTACCCGACACCATTGAAAATCCTTGAAACGATGATGTCGGAATAAATTATCTCATCGACATTATCCCCTCGGCCATGAGAATCAGCATTGACGTGCCATCTGCTCCTCTCCAAGATAACACATTAATTTTTCACCTATGTACAGAATCCCCAGCCATGTACACAACATATAATTGGTATCATTTGAAAAAAAAAACCTATTTCAGTGACAGATCGAATGATGAAGACCCACCGATAGGTTTGTAGACTCAAAGAAATGAATTAACCCCTCGAGCCATAACGAATTTGCGGTACGATGGAACAAAGAAACCAGACGCACGTTAAAGCGTATTCGGATATCGTTGGAATTATATACCACAGTACATATATACATACATATTAACAGGCGTTGCAGAGTAGGCGGTATTAACCCACGTGGGCGTGGTAACAGGCCGAGGGTGGGGGATGTGAAATATTTTTTTTTTCTGGTGGGAGGTAGTAGGTAAATTTTAAAATGTCCAAGAGAAAAAGAGAGAATAAAAAAAATGGCCCGGTGGGGGATCTACTTTTTTCCCATCAGCCCAGATTAATGTATACATCGATTCGATAATTCCCATACGCCGGAGGAAATTCGACGCACGTTCGTGTCAATATTTCGCCGTTTAACGTGAAATAGATATATTGAAAGTGATAATGGTGGGGATGGGAATCGATGGTTTTGAATGGGATGGTGGGGATGGCGATCCCCACCTGGTGATTTGGAACAGGGGGAGGGAAAAATGTTGATGGTGGGGTTGGTGGTTGAGATGCTGGGGGCGGGGTCTCGATTCAAACGCTAATAGAGATACAATCGGGGGTGCCTTGTGCTTTGGGATCGTTGGCTTCAACGGGTGTAGGAGGAGTAAAGAACATACGACTTGTAGATAGGTGGGGGCAGTGGTAAGTAGGGACCTCAGGCCCCTAGTTTAGACATCACTGTGCGACGGATGGACAGCCAGTCAGACCCGTTACGGCACTCGCACCAGTACTCGGAAATCTTGAGGAAAACATCATACCCAGGAGAATTCCACCCCCACTCTAAAAAAAAAAGTTGCATGTGTGCGGGAAACTGAATTTTCATTTTTATTTTTTGGCACCAATTGTAGTCATTCGATCGATCGATTAAACCGTAGTTTTGTGAATCGATTAGTCGACAGTGATTGTGAGAGAATTGTTGGTTTCTAGAATTGTTGAAGTTCTACATCATCTGCTTAAGTGAATGAGATGCATGATGAGTGTTGCACTGGCAACTATGGAGTCTCTTTACAGTCTGCGTGGACTGGGAAGTCATTCACATATTTTCCAACACCTTCACAATCATCATCAACAGCGATCACCACCACCGAGTGCTTCCTATCAACCTCGTGAGAATCTTGAGAGTCCACTCAACTTCAGTATCATCAACATTCTGAGACCTGATTTTGGGTGTGCCGCTATCAGTAAATCATCATCAAGAAAGTCAAGCCTGTCACTTGCTGAATTGTCGGGATCGGGTTCACCGTCGTTACTGAGGGATTTGAGTTTATCAGAGAGACTCGTCTCATCCCAATCAGCGTCGGTACACCGGGACAGCGAGTCCTCCTTCTCAGGATCAACATCACCACTTCAAAGGCACTCAACCCTAAGTAGAAGCGGAAGTCTCGAGAGTCTCGCTAGTAACCGCAGTTCTGTAACGAGTTGCTTAACCGGAACAAACTCGTTGTCATCAGCGGCATCGACCATCGGTGCTGAATCTGTCAGCGGCGATTCCATCGTAGCAAGTAATTCACAAACAAATACCACTTCCGGTTCTGGCAGTGGCCAGAGTTTGTGGCCCGCCTGGGTTTATTGTACCCGATATTCCGACCGTCCATCATCAGGTAAGCCCTCTCATTCTTCAAAAAAATTTTTTTTTTCTCACAATTGCACATCCGCAAACATATTTTTTGCGGTGATGCTCCAATAAGAGGACACTGTCCCATAGTAATGTAAACCACATCGCTAAATCATAACTATTAATGCTGCAGGACCGAGAACGAGACGAGTGAAACGTACACCTAGTGAGAAAATAACACCTTCCGAGGAGAAGAGACCGAGAACGGCATTTAGTGGTGAACAATTGGCAAGACTGAAGAGTGAATTCACAGAGAATCGTTACCTGAACGAGAGAAGACGCCAGCAATTGTCCCGTGAGCTTGGACTCAATGAGGCCCAGATTAAAATTTGGTTTCAGAATAGACGTGCAAAAATAAAAAAATCAACTGGACAGAGAAATCCACTGGCACTTCAGCTCATGGCACAAGGACTGTACAATCACACGACAGTTCCAGTTGATGAGGATGGGGAGGAAACCACCACTCCAGCCTGCCAACACTGAATATTTATTCATTAAAATTATTTAAATAATCTCCGAATTATTCAAATAATTCTCAAATTATATAAAATAACTAAAATCTGTATAGACTGAGAATCAGGTGTAGGTAATACCCAATTTTCTCATTTACTCTTGTTAAAAGCATCTCAATCCTGTTAGTTATAACTGATTAGTGGTCATAATTGCCAAGTAACAATTTATTTATTCCATACGTTTGGATACCGCTGTGAATAGGCCAATAGCCGTACTGCATACATTACAGGTATAATCTCGTAATGAAATACTATTAGATGATATCCATTAATCTGTAAATAAATATTGTGCTTAAGAGGTGTAAGAATAATCATACGGTTTATCCACAATAATTTCTCCGACCCCGGGAATGATCTCACTGCATTTTGTCTCCCTGTTCAACATTTGTAAATATATTAGCATAATGATGATATAATTTATATCTATGACTGGTAGAAATAAGGACGAATTATTTATCACGCAATTCGTTCTCCAGTGTGTTATCTTATATTTGTAAGTTTTATACTTATTAATGGCTACTGTTATGCGTATTAAACAATGCAATAGTATAAACATCATTGTCTCGTTATTATTCCCATTTTCAATGATTTTAAGGATTGCGGATGCACTATTTTATATTTATTTCAGTCAACATTCACAAGTGCATGTCTGGTGTACTGCGTACGAGAGAATCTAATTATAAACTCCTTCGTACTATTCTACTGTATATATCAAGTACAACTCGTAATGCTTCATTTTCCACTGCCACACTGGGACATTCTCTTCAGTCCGCCATAATTGATTTCAAATTAATGGGGTATGCACTGTGTATTCAATTAATGCTGGGAATTAATGCGGGTTATCAGTACACGGTTTTCTGCAAGACTCTACATTTTTTTTGTTTCAGTTTTAAAATTATTTTTTTATCATACTTTTTTAGATTATGTTGCATTATTATTTTCATTTTTGATCAATCAAATTTCAAATTATTGATATTATTATTGACGAGATTACGAAATACTTGAGCGTGATATTATTATTATTATTTTATTATTATTTTATTCGTCTCTGATGTTACAAAAGTTTTTCTCTATTTTACATCGTCACCCGCCATTTTTTGCCCCTCATAATCCATTCAGTTTTTATAATAAATAAATTTTCCTAATTTAACATTTTAATATTAATATTAATATTTAACGGTTTGACATTGATTTGGAGTGTCATAAAATATTTAGATATAATTGTCCATGAGTAATTGGCAAATTTTGGATTAATTGATTAATCAGAGTGTAAAGAGTAGATTAATCGAAGTGATAAGAGAATATTATCGTGGGAGGATAGTTTTTTGGGTAATAACTGGATAAAATATTAGAGACTTAGTGCGGCTGTTCTTCTGCAGTAATTCGCAAATGGTAGGAATGCTAAAAGAGGGGAATTATACGTATTACCACTGCATACACGCAAGGGGAAGTTATCCAAGTGTATATAACACTGGCCGCCACAGGCATTGTACGATGGCCATTAGGGGTTTCTAGTTTGTAGCCACCAGTGGCTCACTAAATTTACTTTTTTCTTACGCTATTTCACTTGAGAATTTATGGTGTATACTATCTCCGATAGTATATTCTTTGTTAATTGTAATGTATGAAGAATCTCCGGAGACGTACAGCCTGAAAATACAGGCGGGTAACACTATTTGGATGAGAAACGGTTGAAACTTCAAAGGGTATATGGCTTTTATCACGAATGACTGGTAGAAAGAAATTTAAAAACTCGAGGGTAAATTAATTCCAAGAAGTATTACTGTGGAGAATCCCTTTAGTCGCTCTTCATCTCCAATCGAGCGGGACACGAGAGGTTCTAACGAGTCTACGAGAGCAAAAGACGATTTATCGTTAGTTAGTTTCTACATGCTTTTGAAATCACCCGACGACGACAGCGACGACATACACGAAAACCCTTGGATCACTTTAGGTAACTACGTCATGTGTATATAATACGGTATATGACTCTTGCGCACATGTTTCAACCATAGATCAGATCATGGCGCACAGTTGGCTCGTACATCTTTTCGAGGTACATCAGAATCCGGGGGATATAAATTTACCGAAATAAAAATCCCCAGCTCGCAAGGTTACGTACACTAAATACTCACTTCCGGTTATATATTTATCTCGATCTTTCATCGTCCGCCAAATTATCCTAAGACCACGCACTAGGGCGAAACAGTGTAATTGCCGTTTTACTGTCGACGGATCATATTAGATACTCGTTATTCTAACGAGCGCGAATAGTCTTTCAACCGAGTTATTTATTTATTCGTGGAAATGATAAAACTCGCGAATAGAAAAATTTCATTTCGCATATTAGTTAGTAATTTCAGTTACTTGGAAAAATTTATAAATTTGTGTAATAAATATTGTTTATGGGAGAATTGTTTTTTTTATCGTTAATATTGGGGGGATGAGGCATGAGCAATTTGTCTCTCGATTGTCTGAGGTTTTCATGGAAAATTGAAAATAGAGTCTGTCCCTTTCATTCAAATCTCCAACGTCAGCTCAACGTAATGATGGAAGGCATGAGTTTTAGGTAGCGATATTCAAGGTATGCATAGCGTGTGTGGATAAAGATGGGAGAAAATGAGCAAGAAGTCAGAAGGAGAGACGACGTGGGACAACGAGAGAGTAGTGAGACCACCCAACGCGATCACACGCGCGGTATTTGGTGGAGAAAGGGTAAAAAAATGAGAATGGCAAAAAAAGGCGATTGAGAGAGCAAAGGGGAGAGTGATTAACAGGTATATGTTTTCGATTAAACCAGATGAAAATGTACCATTCGTCTCATTTTTCATAATTACTTCTTCAAATTTTCACGGTCCACTCATTATGGACGAATTCTATATATTTTTAGAACATTGAAGAATTGAAGAAACATTTTAGATATTTTTAGAACATTGACTTGCCATTTCAAAATCCCCTGAGACCATTTTTTATTTTTACATCCAATTACTCGGTGCGAATTTTTTTTCACTTTCAATTTTCAAAATTTCACCGGTTCCCACCCTCTGGGTAAAATTTGTTCAATAATTTGCAATCTCCTTTAGTTTCTGCAATAATCCCCAAATTTTCGGGATTTTTCGGACTCGCGGTATTTTTTGAATTTTTAAAATTCTGCTCTGACAGTGATTGAAGATAATTCGAGATATTTCGAGATCGATTTCTCTTATCCTTTTGATATTAGGAGAACATTACTGTATACATATAATTTTATTACAACAATTGAGGAACTCATATTTAGTCAATTTATTTAGTTTACAAATATAATTCCGATGACAAAAAGTGAGGGTGAATTATTCAATAAATTTCTCTCCCCCGGATAGATTGAATTTCTTTGGTCATCATCGGTGGATTAATTTCGGATCGTCAGCTAATTATCGTTGTGCTCAAAGTCGCATAGGTAACGGACTGGTAATTAAATTCTTTGTGAGAACGATTCTGGAATGTCGGGGGCGAGCGCCAGTCGCAATTAAAAGAGAAACGTTTCGTTTTCTTGCCACCCTTCATTACCCCCGTCTTTCTGTTACTTCAGTTAAGAAGCGCGATAATTAAAAAATATATATATGCAGGTGTAATTGACCCCCGGCCACCCCCTCATATCCCTTACTCGACGGCTGTAGTTTTTCTTCACGCCTACACATTTTATTTTATTTCATTTTAACCAATGTACGTGCGTCGTATCTGGAGGACTCATGTTCCATGCTAATTTCCCTTTTTCACAGCTATCTTTTTACTCTTCTCGGTTGGGGGATGAAAGGCACGTTTTTACGATCCCAGAGGCGTTTATTCACTATCGCTAAAAGCCAGGGGGTGAGAATTTACCCTCTGCTCTTAGTCTTGAATTGAAATAGTTGAAAAACAATTACCATTTGAGAGCCGCAACTTCGCTTTTCACTTCATAATTGAAAAGCACGGAAAATTGTTGGAAAATTTACCACCCCTTCCTTCCATCTAATGAAGAGACTATTTTTATTTCTCTATGCAAGAATTTATTTACCGGAGATTTCAAAAAAATAGTTCAGAATTATTTTTCAATAATTTTCAATCAACTTTCAATAGCTTTCTAAAATATCTCGACAATTTTTGAAAAAAAATACTGAAATCTTTTCTAGGAACAGATTTTTTAGTTTAAAAAAATAAGAAAAAAATTATTTGGATGACAAATTGTTATTTACCCGACACACACGGGGTATCAGTACTGAATATTTCTCTTCGTGAGGTATCTCTCGTGACTGTTAAAAATAAGGGGTAGAGATCTTTACCATACTATCTGAAGCTTGCAGATAAGTGACAAGCACAAAGGGAGAGATTTGTCGCGGTCCTAAATCGTTTTGGCAAAGGTTGCGTGAGCAAACGTGCGGAATTTTGTGTCCAGAGGGGTGTTGACATGTACCCAACTTTTCCTGCGTGCGAACCAAGTATACAGCCGCCTGTTTGTCTTCAGTAGCATACCAACCCCTAGTGTCAATGGGATACGATCCCCGCTACAGGAGGAAAAAAAAAAAAAAAACATTAGTGAAGAGTGAAAAGGAATGGCACGCTCGACGGGTGAATAGCATGTTTATTTAACCCGAAGTAATTTGATCAAAAATTTAATCAACTCGGATTTTTGGACGACGCGTGTGACGAATCGCTGGATACAATAAAAGTCGAAAGAATTCCAGTTTCTTCCTCGTCCTCGGGGAATAATCGAGTAACTCAGTCATGAGAGCAATGAAAAATTGAAATATGATCTAAGCCGAATAAAATGAAGTCCTGACCGATCAGGGCCGGGCCTCAAAGTTACAATCCATCGATTAATCGATTACGATTATTCATTTTTCGTAAATTTCCCATTTGCAGTGAAAATTTCGATGATTTCGTTGATATTAATTATTATTGGGAGAAGAAATTGAAGATCATGCATAATATGACGATTTGATGGGAAACTGCAATGAAAATGTGAGATGAATTTTCATGAATAAAAATTCATGCAGTGTAATTACTCAAGTAATTGAATATTTATGAAAAATAGAATGATTTGTTTATTGAAATATCGTCACCAGGAAAATCCGGACCCCCAGAAAAACCGGAGAGAATAGAAATTTGTTCTTTCCCTGGCGCTTCATTGTAATTCACCCCTCCCAGTGTCGAGGTGCAAGTCACGTACTTGTTCGTCCATTTCAATTCATCGTGTGGTGATTTAATCAAACATGCCTGAAACAGATAACTAAACATTATATGTGTGAATTCTGATATGAGGGGGAAGTAGGGAATTTCAACGTATGCCGTGGTGTTCTTTTTTTTTTTCGGTGCGAAACGAGGGGTTGAAAACACCCACAGAATGGGAGCTCATATAAAGTGTATGTCGGGAGACTGTGGGGTGTGCAGATGAAAGTACGAAGTATCGTGATACTCAATAGATCACAGTGGTTCCAGCCATCTATTTGGGGGATACTTCAACGTAGTATATGCACACCCTCTGATATATACTGTTGAAACAATATGCCACTTGCCGC